GTCTTTCGTGGCAAAAGAACTAAGGTGATTCCACCTCATGCAGCAGCTTGTATCCACTTTCAAAACCACAACATCATGCTCGGCTGTCCAATTGGGTCAGAATCAACAGCTGAGAATCAAGGCGTAAGCCAACCCCTATGACTAATCGAACAGAGCGTTTCCAGCTACGATGACTGTAGGGGCTATCTATCTAAGCGAGTTATCCATACACGGGAGACGCAGAAAAGGACGCAATAGATGAACATGATGTTTTCTGGGGTATTCATTCTTTATATATCCCATCAGGAAGTAGAAGAGACACGAGGGTACTCGCAAGGGCGTACATAGATATCTCAAAATAATTAACGTCTCGACAGTCGTGCTCCCAAATGATTGTTTGTCCGTTCACCTTGATCTCTTGGCAGCCAGACCATCTATGCAGACTCCGCCCAGCTCAGATATGACGCATTCGCCTTAACCCTTTTGGACCTAGGCGCTAAGGTCTCCGCTCGCATATAGAACAGGTCGCCGGCGTTTGTCTTCGTGGCAGTGTATTGACCTTTCGCTTGCAGTCAGGCTGCTATAGTCTCTGAGGAGGGGTACATGCTTCGCAGTGCAGCAAACGACCTGTGTAATCTCCTCTAAACTACGAGGGCTATGTGTGACAAATCATTTTTAGGCTATCGCGGGAGCTGAATCGACGATCGTCCCGTCAAGCTGCACACTAGTGGCTCAAAGGTACATGTCAGCTACAGGACTGAATCTGATACAGCCCAATCGGAAATGACCATGTGGACCCTAGTCCTTTTGCTTTTCTCTTTCTTCTTTACTCTTTTCCTCTTCTTCTTCCTCTTATGCTCTTCATTTAATTTAATTGTTTGTAGTGTGAGTAGCGCAATTACCATCATGCTTCAGGCAATCAGCATTCTATCACATTATTCCCTTCTTCCTTCCCAGTTTTTTCTGTAAAAGATGAGGGGCCTTGGACACCACAGGCTTGCATAGTCTACCCCGCAGCAGCTGCGTAGGATCAATCGGATATATTGGACAGTGAACGGGCTTGGGAACAGGGACCGGGGTCCGGGGATCTCTGTTTCATTTGACAGTGGCAAATCTTAGAATTCGTGGCGTCAGGGACGATCCTATCTGGCGAAATATATGTCCCGCGTACGGCTCCATGAACTCTGGAAGGTCGACCAACGTGACTAGCATTTAGACTCTAGATCATACGAGTACTACAAGTAGGAGCTGCACATAATAAACTAACTTGAAAGGTATTCCTCGTATTTCCATGGAACTCTTGAAGATCTAACCACTGCTCTACTTTTGGGATTACTACTCCATGATGTGGTATTACCGTATTCAGATTACACAACATTGTTTGAATGTTTTACCCCTCATCTTATCCTTGTTAGCACTCATCTGCATGCATGTACCTCTTTCTCTCAAGGAGGAAGTAGTTCTGAGATAATGAGTTAAGAGATATGCCTTGTAATTAGAAAGTGAGCAGTAGTAAGCGATTCGAGGGAGATGGCTGTATTTATAGGCCTCCAGCGTCTACTTCAACCAAATGATGCAATCACCCAGTAGGCCTTTGTAGAAGCTGGGAAGCTCTTCCTTTCATTGAAAAATAGGGGAGCTATTGACAGACATGCATCCCTCTTGGTGGAGCACGCATTGTGTTGTTGTCACACCCTGGGATCTGTCTCTGCTGTTCTCTGCTAGTCAACTACTTTGGGAACAGGGTGATATAGTCTTCTGGGCTATATCCTATACTTGCCTGAGGTCAAATGACCAGGCACCCTAATAGTATACTAAGTAGGTAATAAGGTATATGTAGTAAGGCAAGGTGATAATCTAAATAGGATTAAGGATAATCTAAAGTTAATATATCAAATTAAGAATAATAATTGTAGAGACAGAAGCAAGGCCTATTAGGTATATACTCTTAATGGTAAGAGAGTGTGAGAGCACCTAAGGGAGTGCTCTCTATCGAGTGGTAGATATCGTGGTAGTAGCAATGCTCGCACCTCAGCAATTGATGATATCTGTGGATCACATGCTACTCACGTGCCCTGCAGTTCTGCTATGGACAGGTTCGCTGCGCCTAACCGAGAGTAACTAATGAATTAGACTAGTGAACTTATAATGGTGCTCTTAGGCTCCCAGGCAGCGATGGCTGGGCAGCCGGGGCTAGAACATGTCAGTCCTGGGCCAGTTTAAGCTCTAGCGCAACAAGCACACGAGGTCGCCCGGCAACTGAACCAGTGAGGTAGAACCGTAGGACGGCTGCAATTCAATGGGTACCTGGTCATAAGGGTATTGAAGGCAATGAGCAAGCAGACCAAGCAGCGAAACTAGCTGCTACAAATCCTATATGAGGAGCACAACTAGAGATATCTCTGACACATGTGAAGCACGCACGCACAGAGAGGGCCCGACGACAGCAGACGGAGTGACTGAATACCACCCTCTCTGGGAGAAAACCCCAGGGGGCTCAACAGTCATATAGGGCCGCTAGGGAATGGAAGCAGGATCCGATCGCTGCTGCTGCTCCTAAGGCACTCGCACGCTGCCACTTCCCATTGAAAGTAGGGCACGCGGCCATTGGAACGCACCTGCACCGATTGCAACCACAACAAACAACCACTTGTCAGTGGTGCCAGGCGCCGAAAGAGACGTTTCAGCACCTGCTATTTGAATGCACACACTGGCGCAAGCAAGGGAGGACCCTTTATAGGGTCCTGTGCGGAGTAGGGATCAATACATCGACAACGGGCAAAGATGCTAAGAAGGACGGCACTTTCAGAATCAGAGAGAATTCTTACCTTTTCATATTCTTCCATATTCGACCCAGTTTATAATACAGTGAAAATGATAATCCCTTCAGAAATCCTCCTGCAAATCCTCAAAAAGGCTGCCTGCGGCCTCTCGTTGTCAGAATTGTTTCAGGCAAGATTGGTGAACAGTACATAAAACCCCCATTACATCAATGGAGTTACCGATGGGGAGTGTTGCCGCTACATTTTGCTGCTCGGTGCGGTAGGAAAGAGGTTATAAAGGCCTTGATCAAGCATGGATATCTGCGACATTATGACTTAAGGTGCCGCTATCGGTATGCGCTGGCTGTTGCCGCGCAGAATAACAATGAGGGGGCGTTAGAGGCTTGGTTGAGAATCCTCCTCCTCCTCCTCCTCCTCTGGATCGTCCGTATCCGGACCCGGTCTGGATACATCATCTTGGGTTATCAAATGACCTGCGCAAAGCGATGAGAACTGTTGTAAGAGAGGGAAATATGGAAATGATCCAGTTCAATAAAAAGCAATATCCGCGAGAGATGAGAATGGAATGACTCCTGTTTGAAGGAGTCACAGTGGCGATCCAGTACGGTCTACCAGATGTTGTTCGTCATTTCGTGGAGCTGGGAGGGTTTGATATCCACATGCATAGGGAGGTTTTCTTCAAGGGGCTGCTGATGACAGCCATCCTTGAGTGCAATGCTAAAACAAGGCCGCAGGTTGTTCGGCTACTTCTGGAGAACGGAGTTGATCCAAATCACACATTTACTGAAGGGAGACAAAGAGTGTCAGGGACACCACTGCAGAGGGCTATCCTCAAAGGGGATCTTGAAACGACGAGATCTCTTGTGGAATATGGGGCTGATGTCAATGCCACTTCTGTGGCAAGACATGGTCGTTGGAACAGAGTGTGTAGCCTGCCGCCATTGATCCATGCAATGAGGCGAAGATCTGCAGAGATAATCCGAGTTTTGTTGGAAAATGGAGCCAATCGAACGTGTCTGTCAAGATGGCAGACACTTCTGGTGAAGGCGGGGGAGGAGAAGGTGTCGGACGAGGACATTGTGATTAGGAAGGGAATGGATCAGGCGGAGACATACTCTTTCGTCGTTGTTAAGCAGCGTTCAAAGAAGAGGAAAGGGAAGAAGCTTGATGACTGAGGAGCTGGTATTATTTTGGAACGTCCGTTTTTGTCTATCAATCGCTTGGTTTATCAGACCTCTCTTACCTGCCAAATTGCAAACGGCGAGGATGGATCATCCTCTCTACCCAGTCTCCGACTCGCTGGTGGATGACTGGAATCGGTGCGTGCGGCCAACGCAGCGATAGTGCAGAATTGTGACCACTTCGAAGGAGGTCCGTGGAGGGTACGGCCCAAGCGGAAGACCGCGAGAACAGTGTCAAGATGTTGATCAGGTCCCAAGATGCTACCATGGGTCAGGGGCACAAAAAGTTGCCGCTAGACATCACCATTCAGCAATCAGGGAACTAGTGGCTCAAGAATTCATCGACCGCAGAAAGCGGCTGAAGCTTATAGCAGAGGCCTTTTAGTCGTCCATGGTTTTTCGATATCCGAACACCCACAGTGGCATGAATGCAGACAAACATACGGAGTGACAGTCAGCAATGGTCCACAGCAGTCATTACTCATTCGAAGCCAAGAGCGCCAACGATGATGCCAAATGGCTCAGCCATGAAAATGCTCTCTTTTTGGACTTGCCTTGCGGTACCCAACAGTGAGACTCAGGTAAACAATGTAAATATATGATACCGTTTATGCCTTCCTCTTAACCCAGAACTGTTACTAATACGCTCCTTCGCCTCAGGACGTAAGTCTTGGGGTATCCGTAGATGGTTGACCTGCATCAACCAGCTAGACTTACTGTACAGCAGTCCCAGGAATGAGTACTTGGTTGGCTCTAAACCAAATGAGTTCAGAAGGCAGCATTTTCATTGGGCGTGTAGTTCAACCTATGACCGCTAAATATGCAGCCGTGGTACTGCACCCAGTCAATGCGCTTAATATGCCGTCAGCATCATGAAGATGTGGCACCTGAAGTATATATTACTACAGGGTCAACATGTTCCTTATGGATGAAGAAGCCTGCATTTGATAATATTATAGCTCTCTTCTCAGACCGCGTTGAGACTACATCGATTAAAATATCGAAATCAAAGTGCTAGCAGGTTGACTTGTCGGTTAGATAACACCTACGTCGCAACCGAAGCTTCGATTTGAAGTGATATGAATGTGGAAGCGATGGATGCTTTGTCATCTTAGATGGCCGAGACTGCCGAACTATCTATGGAAACGAGCTGCCAGGATTGATGAAAGAGAAGTCGACCAGGGCAGACAAGGAGAGTTCATATGCTACGAAGTGATCAATGGACGTGAGAAAGAGCTGGAAGATGAGCATTTATCCCATCGCGCGAGCTCACCCATTGGAATCACAATAACCCCACAATACTTCTGCGGTTTATCTATTATTGGGGGCTAATTCCATTTTGAAACACCGGTGCCCTTGGCGAAGTACACAATCATGTTTTTATCACCACTCTACTCAGTAGGGAGCATTATCTTTCCACCGCCGTCCAGGGCCGATAATGTGCTGTATGATTTAGTGAGAAAACGTGGATTAACAGGGCTCCCAGCCTCACAATCACCACCTCTCGGGACCAGCGGCAAATCGCACCGCTACACTGGGGGATTTCCGTTTCAAGACGGCGATTTGGAAGTCAACAATTAGTCCATGTTTAGTGTTAATACTGATGGTCTGTCTGATGGTGCCGAAACCCGAACCTCGCTGGAGTCGGCCCCTGCCGTTGGAGATAGCGCTTGGCTTCCTTTTGTGCTAAACGCACCGATTAATCGACTTTTTCGCCTTGGGGTGTGACCGTTAAGCGAGGTGTCTGATATCTAGGTGAATCTAGCAGGCCGGTAGAGCTGATCATCGCGTTGGTCTCATTGATCGAGGGTGTACAGGCTCGTACTGAGTATTGCTGTCACAAGTGCTGGATGTCAATGCCTGGTTCCAAACCCAAGCCTGTCAGCTGAGAAAAGCACACTGCAAGCCAATCCAATGAATGTATTTTAGTGCTTATTTTGCTAGAAAATACACTGTGTCTTGCTTAGACCATCATAGTGAGCAGAGCCGAGGGCTACAGCTCTCCACCTAACTCCAAGGCTTGGAACGTCAGCGCACGACGTTACATTCAATATCCTGAGACGAGCAAATTGCCCAAGGCACTCGCAATGCGATATCATTGGTTGACTGAGGGCCCTGTGACTGCCATTTTAATCCAAATGTCAAAGCAGGCAAATATCATTGAAAATTTCTTTGACTGGCGCTCAAATCTAATTCTTCACGTGATTACTTTACAAACAGTATGTAGTGGTCGCTATGAATCCATGCAAATTTCTATTCACACTCGAGGAACATACCAATGGAATGCATCAGTTTGCCTGCAAGTTTCAGCGTGCAACCTGTCAGAGTCACTAACAACACTCTATTCTGGACGCTCTTGAAAGGGGCTGGGCTGCAATCTACAACATTATAGACCAATGCTTGATGTCCCTGTTTCTGAGCAATAGAAAATCCCTTTCATACTGCAGTTTTAAGGCACAGCTGGTCTTTAGGAAACCTGCTGGTCATCCTGGGAAAAAGTAGTTGAGTCTCTGAAAGGGAGGGTATTGGTTCATAGGAAATAGGCATCTGCTGTAATTCAGGAAATAAATTGAAGAGTCTGTTGCAGTTCCTTTATTCACATATGCTATTAGCGTTCATAAGGAAAATATGTATAAGGGTGTGTCTAGCTTTTGAATGAATTCGGCTTCAGTATCAACATCGATGTCAAGCACGGCCACGAACCAGACTAATAGGTAAACAAAGGTCAATACATATGTGCCTGATAGCCTCATTGGCTCTTGCGCTGCGCCAACCGAGCTAACTTATACTGAATCTACGGGTACAGTTGTCGCCCCAAATTCACTGAATTCAGATACTAACCTGATCGGGTAATACACTAGTATACTCTCGCAGATTTGATTTTAACATACCTGGCCCACAGTAGTCCTTCTCTCAAAACTACACTACAGAGTACATCCTGGTTCTTGGCAGCGTACAGCCACGATGGTCGTTCCAGGCAGCAATCAATGGTTGGGCAGGTCAATATGTAGTCTCTACTCCTTAATTTGAGAAAGCTCGAATAAGCCTGGCGCAGCCCTGCATTTGTTCTGCCTCAGCCAACTTATCAACTCAACATGATAAACCAGCGAATTGCGCAGGCCTCCAAGGTTGCGCCTTTCACTCGACATGAGTTTTCAGTAAAGTTCGAATTTGTTCTATTCCGATTTTGACCTGCCCATTCTCTCAGCCGCCTCACACTGTTCTCCCCTCTCCAGTCAACCAACACTTTCTGGGATGCGCCTGCGGAGTTTGTACCGTTGCGGGGCCACGACTCTACTCCTCTATGAGCAGGTGGCTCTCGCAGATCTTGGGATCCAGGCGAATGATGTCGGTATGTATTCCGCAAAGCCTCATCTTTGAGACCGCCTGAGGGTTTATATGAGGTGTACACTTGTGACACATGCGATGTTAATCAGACACCCTCAAGTCGGCCGCCAAAATGGTTGCGGCGCCCATGATGGAGTTCTACGACAAGAACCAGACTGAAGGCATCCCGGGCAAGCTGACAGGCACCTGGTACGTGGCGGGTGCCATGTTCATGACGCTCATCCAGTACTGGCATGCCTCCAGCGATGACACCTATAATCCCATCGTATCACATGACCTGATGTTCCAGTCGGGTGAGAATTATGACTTCTTCTCGCAAAATTACAGTCACTGGCTGGTAGGGGGATCGATCTGTCCCGCTTTTTCATATCCATGTTAACCTCTCGCAGGGTAATGATGATCAGATGTTCTGGGGTCTTGCCTCCATCACTGCTTCAGAGACTGGGTTCCCAGAGATCCCAGGCAAACCCACCTGGACCTCCCTGGCGCGGGCTGTCTTCAACATGCAGGTTGCCCGATGGGACACCACAGGTTGTGATGGCGGCATGCGATGGCAGATCCCACTCTATCTGCCGGGTTACACAATGAAGAACGCCATATCTAATGGCGGACTTTTTGAACTGTCGGCCCGGCTCGCACGCTTCACTATGAACAATACTTATGCACAATGGGCGGAAAAGATCTGGGACTGGTCGGCCAGCACGCCGCTCTTACAGACTAATCGCTGGTATATTGCTGACTCAACCTCCATTGAAGCCAATTGCAAGGATGCGGGAAATACTCAATGGTCATATAATTACGGCACCTATTTGTCAGGGGCCTCATTCATGTATAACTATGTAAGTGATCCTGTGTCTAGTGACTTACCTAACCAGCTCGCTGATTACATATGGTAATAAAAAGACTAACGGGAATGAACAGTGGCTGGAGAGAGTGAACGGGCTGTTGAACTCCCTTCTTGGGACCTTCTGCCCCAATGACAAGGGTGGCAACATCCTGTCTGAGGTTGCCTGTGAGCCCATCATGACCTGTGATCGCAATCAGATAGGCTTTAAAGGATACACGGCCATGTGGCTGGCGCATACCGCTATCCTCGTTCCCTCAACTGCGACCCGGATCTACCCAGTCCTGCAGGGATCTGCTCTCGCCATCTCTAAGCAGTGCTCTAAGCAGTCTGGTAACACCTGCGGCATTCGTTGGTGGCAGTCCACATGGGATGGCTTCACGCCCGGACTGGAGTCGCAGATGGCGGCCCTGGGCGGTATCACAGCCAATCTGATGTACTTCAAGTCGACCGCACCGAAGACCATTGACACGAACCCGGACGGCAAGGAGGATCAGATTATTGCGACCCATGAGGAGGAGACGCCCTTGGATATGCTTCCCCCCATTGGCGCAGCCGATCGCGCAGGGGCATGGATTCTCACTGTGATCATTATGGTTACCGCCGGGGGTTCGGTTTGGTGGTTAGTCAAGACGTGACAAGACGTGAACTTGCTCATCTGCTCTAGAGACATTAATTTGGTGGATACTGTTATGCTCATTGGTTGATTGATTGATTGATTCCTTACTCCGTTGCGACGCCTGGCTGGGGCATGCTGGAGGCTCCTAATGAGCAGCGACTATCTAACTGGCGACCGTCTTTGCAGACTGGCGCCGTCAGTGTACATATATCTATATATCTCAGGCCCCTAGGCTAGGCCATACCCCCGCAGATCCATGTCGGCCGGGGCCGAAATCAGTGAGTGCTACCTTGCTTCTCCTGTAAATGCCCTTCCACCCGCCTATCTGCCCGTACGAGCCAGTTCCACTAGATAGCCGCTGACCCATTCAGATGTCGCAGGTTCCCAGGCTTGCGAGGGATTTTGGGGCGCCACCACCGGACAGGGCTGCTTCAGGGCCTCAGGGGGCCCCAAACAGCATGCCGATACCATGCAGGTGCGCGGGTCGGGGCTGCAGGTGGCAGAACCGCGCCAGTGGGAGTACCTAGTAGTATGTAGTATTACATGATTGCGGGTTGTCAGCTATTATCTGCTGGGCTGTCAGTAGCCACACGCTGCTGGGGGCGCTCGACTTAAGCCATGCCAGCTGGGTAGCCTCTGCCAGATACATCAGCTGGCTGGTGCTCAACAAGAGCCACGCGATCCACTAAAAATACTACTTCTCTGTTAAGGCCTCTGTCAGGTTTCAGGGGTTCCTTCTGTGCTGGCCTACACTATCTACTGAAGGTCGTTTGTATCAGTTGCAGCTGAATAGCACATAGTGGAACGTCCCTGGGGCCTGGCCACACAGGCAGAGGGAGTTCGTCGGCCCAGTTAATGGTTGAGAGGTAGTGATTCAGCCCAATCTTCCCGGTGCGCATCTGGGCCGGAACACTGCGTTCCACGGGGGTGAGGCTGTCGTAGATAGTGATCGAATTCTTGGTGACCTCGGGGAGGAGGTCCCAGAGTTATCCGCCATGCGGAGACTGCCGCCAGGTCTCCACCCATTGTTCTTTAGTGCGCTGCTTGATCCAGGCATCTAGGGGACCGCATATGGGGTGATCCGGCAGTATGGCCGGCGGCAGTGGCCCACACCACTCGTCCGTGGCCGTAGCGTCAAGGCGCCAGCCTGCTTGCGGTCCGGGGGCTCATTGCCAGCCGCCAGCCGCCCCATGGTGCGCCGCTAGCCAATGCAATGAGATATTGAGCACCGGATTGAGTTGGTCAAGCAGGTCCACCAGCTCCTAAACCAGATACTGACCGGAGGCCTACTTCAGTGCAAGCAATATGCGCAGCGCGCCTTAGTATCAGAGCATATCTCAGCCTGCTTCTAATGGCTGGGGGCCGCTGACGCTACTGCCATCCAGGTGTCATGTGGCACTAGATCTTGCCGCCGGTACGGTCACACGGTGTGCTCACGATCCAACTGACCAACCCCAGGTAAAATTAGAGGCAGATAGGGATCCAGGCATACTACGGCGGTGCCCACCCACCTGTGCATGCCGGACCCATCAATAGGTACGCGATATAGTAGACATCATGGTAGACCATGGATTGCTTCTTTGTCTCCTTAATCACCACCTCTGGTGGCTCCCACCAGGGAGGTACTGCCCATGGTAGGCATATCTCTAGCTCCCTGGTGTTAATACTAGTTGCTATTTGCTAACTTAACTTGTTCTGTAGCTTCTAATGGTGTGTATAGTAACAGGTAGTTCAGGGTGCTGGAACCCCCACGGATCATCCAGATAATAGATTAGCCAGCAGGGGCAGTGGGAAGAATTAGTAGGCAAGGAGGTCGGCCTTCTCCTAGGCCCCGTAGGTCACCATGCCGGTATTCGGGTCCCAAAGAGTGGGTGGGGGCCCAGGGGGGTATAGGCATAATAGGCCTGGTAGGGGCCCCAATTCTTCATCCAACGGACAGCGCGCCAGAAGTGATCTGCTGCTAGAAGATGTTGTATTAGCACCACTGGACTGCTCGCTTGCAGGCCTGGGTGGCCTAAACCTGCTGTACATGCAAGGGCAGGGGGCCTCGCACCAGTGCTAGCTTTAGTATGCAGAGATGGTGTGCTAGATCCATATAGCAGGGCCCGGCGCTCCAGTGTGAGCCTGCTTGGGAGTGCTTGGATAGGCGGAGCTAGAGTTGCATAACCGGACGGTACGAACCGCTAAATTCGAATCCGACCCTCACCGAACTCGCAGCTGGATACCATAGCAAGCGAGCGAGTGGGCACTGCAGTCCCGTCCTTGTGGACCAGTGAGAAAATGGTGAAAAGGATACGGAAACGGCAGGCCTGCTCCTGCCCTCGTTCTTTCCTTCTTTTCCAGTGATTCAGCTGGAGGGGTGCAGTGAAAAGGACAACAATCAAGGGTGGATACCTGTGAGCAACCACCGATCGCTAGAGGAGGTCCAGAGCGCTATGATGGGAGCAAAATCCTGGAGGGCCCCGGGCTAAGACGGGTTCACCATGGGAGTTTGGCAGGATATCGGGCCCCAGCGTTAGAGAACGAATGGTACGCTTCTTTGAATCATTAATCCAGCTGGGCTATGTCCCTCTCAACTGAAGGATTGCCAAGATTATCACATTCCCGAAGGTCATAAAGATCCATGGCTCCCCAACTCATACCGGCCCATCTCACTAGTCCACGCTTGTGAAAGCACTGCAGTTGTAGCCGGACGACTCTCGCATATGGTGGATCAATCTGGGCTGCAACCAGCGAATCGTTTTGGAGCCCGGAAGCCAGGGCCATGCCTGGCGAAGGTTCACACCGCGTGAACACGGAAAATGGTTCTAAATTTGGTCAGCTTCGACGTAAGGGGGGCCGACAATGGCGTTGCAAGGGGGGTTCTCTTGCGTCGAATGAGAGAATTTGGATTCTCGAGGCACTGCGGTCTTGACTTACTTTGGCAGGAAATGAAAATTTGAAACCTGGATTACAGATTAGGCACTTACACCCTTCCTTTTTTTCGGCCTCAAGCTAGGGACCCTGCTCACTACCATATGTCTATGCTACGCGATACCATACATTCCAGACAGCGAGAGATAAACACAGGATATAGACAGAGAAGGGAGCGGTAGGGAGCCGCCATAAAGGAATATGAAATATGCCCGCAGGCAAGGAATAGTTCCTCGCAACTGCCGGCGGGATCACACATGCATCATCTACTGAGAACAAGTTGTCGCGGGTACCAGCGTCGTACGTAAGTCTGATAGACTGCTTTACTGTCCACTATGTATTCAGACCTAATCTACTCTAATCTGTCTAGCGTGCCGGTGCATTGGCTCTAAAAGACGGCAATGGTTTGTCAATTTATGAACCCTAAGTTAACCCATAAAGGTGATTCTGATGCAGTTCCCTGGGTCTAGGCAGAATACTAATCTGGTCTAGCGCAAGCTATACGAACTGTGAGCTAGACGTACGCAATTTTCTTACCTGAAAGAACGAGCGCTTTGACCTTCTTGCTCATGTTTGGGCGCTCATGCTGCCGAAATATGATGCATGCTTAGGAATTCAACCAATTGTATTCAATGCTAATGACCATTTACCTAAATAATGGGCTTTTTGAGTGGCCGTCTTTTTCAACAATGCAGTGAGTAGATTGCTGCGTGGAACAACAGCGAGCATAATAGAATTTGGAGCTGGAAGCCCGTAAACACGAATTTACTGCTGTTGTATTTATAACAGTGTTAAGGGTTACGGTGTTGAAATGCCAACCCTCAGTCGTGATTGAAGCTTTCTGTTGATGGTCGTCATTTGGAATGGTCTGGTCAACTAGTTGATTTTGTGCAAGCCGTGGCTTCAAGTGTGCAGCTTCCCAGCTAGAAATACGATAGTAAGATTTGAATCAGGGTAGAGCCGCTCTGTTCTTCTTGGTGTTCATCATTACTGTGATGCTACGTTTTAAGCAGCCATAAAAGTATAGCAACGCCGTTCCATGTTGTTCAATGTTGACCATATACCCTGGACCTTCGCTTCTTATGGACATTGCACAATGTGCTTAATTCCGGAATCGCATCAACCTGCGGCGTATAGGAATATCTCGTGGTGGCGGAGGGGTGTTGCTCTGTGCTTCAGCTTTCGTGATCCAGAGGAAGGTTAATCATACTTAATCTCTTCTCTACGGAACAAATTTCTTATACGATGTTCTATTGTCTATCTGACAGACCTTCTATTCACTACATGAGCGAGCGCGGAACGGAAGATGAATAGGTATCGGAACTCAAATTTTTTCAATCTACCATCGACGTGTATCTAACATCGACGCGTAGTAGTTGGGGCAAAGCAGTCATAGCGTTCTGTAACATTATTGGGTCTAATGCAGCAAATAGATCAGTCAGACGCGGTGTTGATGACTAGCCTTCCTGAAACAGAAAACAGGGGGGTTCTGGGCAAGACCGCTCCTTGACCGTCACACCGCCACAGCCCTGTGGAAGCCAGGTCGATATAGCAAGCAACATTCTCTGAGAGATCTCTTTTTGCTCTACTTTTCTTTACAGCGTTCGGCAGGTGCACAAGACTATATTCCGTTGGCAAAGGGATATTTTGCACCCCTCTTTCCAATACAGGTGCTCAGCAAGATGTCAAAACATGGGAAGGAACACAAGAGACCGATTCTCCTCGAGCTAAGATGTTCCAATCTCTTTGTCATATTTGTGGTCTCTTTCGCAACATTCACTGTAGGTTTGCAGAAACGGATGGAAGCTTTAAAGAGACCATGCTAAAATCAGTTATGTCAGGATATCCTGCTATATGGGCTTGTAAGTTGACCATTTGCCTTAGGTGTTTGTTGCTTGTGCAATCGTTCGCGCCACAAAGTTAATACGATACAGATTGTTCCTGTGGCTCCTACTGCGATGCATAAGAGAGTTGGTTTATCTGAAAATGAGGGTATGCGATCCTTTTTGAGCCGCGTTAATATTTGGGTTTACTATCTTTCCGACTCTAACCTTTTAATATCAGAGCAATCGTGGACCTCGATCTTATTAGCCTTGTACGGAGCGGCACTGCTGGCAGCTTCTCGTGAGTTTGACCATCCCTCATCCTCGAACGTGGCAAACTTACTCACTGGTCGTTGAATCCAGCTATTTCTGGCTACTTAGCAGATCGGATCGAATCTAGGCGCTGGCCTCTCCTGATAGGGCTGGTCGCCCTAGGTGCATCTACGGCGTTGCTCTGCGCAGGCACTACTATTGGCCTCTGGGTCGCCGGTCGCTTGTTTCAAGGGATATCCGCAGCTGTTGTTTGGACAGTTGGAATAGCCCTAATAGTCGACACGGTAGAAAAAGAGGCTCTGGGTGAGGCGATGGGATATGCAGCAATGGGCAGCATACTTGGGACCATGGCGGGTCCCCTCCTTGGTGGTGTTTTATATGAGAATGGAGGCTACTATGCTGTTTTCGGTCTTGCATTTGGTTTAATCGGCTTTGATATTTTCTTCCGGCTTATCTTGATTGAGAAGAAAGACGCCCTGAAGTGGCTTCACGCTGGAGAATTTTCTGAACAACCAGTGGGGAATTCATTAGAAAAGCAAGCTACAGATGGGCGTGTGTCGCCTCCTTTGCCAGGAAATAACTGTGATAGTAACCATCACGGCGAGCATAACACAACATTGACCCTGACACCGCAAGATGACACAATCTGCGATGCAAACCAGCGGATGCGCCACAAGAGACGTTGGGACGCTATTGCTGCCCTGTTGGCGTCAGATCGAATGCTCGTCACGCTGTGGGGTTACTTTATTGTGTCAGTTGTATTGACATCTCTTGACAGCGTACTTCCTCTTTTTGTGCATGATACATTCAGCTGGAAACAGACAGCCCAAGGGCTGATATTCATTCCAGTGTCTGTACCTCATCTTCTAGATCCGATGTGTGGGTACATCAACGACAAGTTTCCGCAAGCTCGGCGCTTTATAGCAGGTGGAGCACTGCTCAGCATGGTTCCATTAATTGTGCTTCTCCGACTTGTCACTACAAATTCTATGAGCCAAAAAATAGTGCTTTGTGTGCTGCTGGCTCTGACCGGGCTCTGTCTAGCCTTCCTAATCCCACCACTCTTTGCTGAGGTCTCATATATCGTCCAGGAGAAGGAAGCAGAATTGCCAGGTGCCTTCGGTAAAGGAGGGGCAATGGCACTTGCGTACGGTATCCTCAACTCTGCTTTTGCAGCCGGTTCTATAGTGGGTCCATTCCTGGCTGGCTTCATCCGAGAAAAAGCTGGCTGGGGCACAATGGCTTGGGTCTTAGGTCTGCTAACAGGCGTGTCGTCTATTCCTGTTTTGCTTTTACTGGGCGGCCGTATATGGAAGCCTACAGAGCGGCATGCTGAGAGTCGGTCTGCCGAAGCAGCTTGACAGGCTGTTGAGACACGCGGAGCACAGACTAGGATTATGTGTTGAACAACACATGCTCATCGCAACAGGCCCACAGCAAGCATGCTCGTCTGCATGGTGTGCTTTAGCGTGCATCGTGGTTAAACCATGGGGTGGATTCCTGAGCCGCCATCAACTCTCATGAGGTAGCGCATACTAGTCGGAACTACTTCCACGCATACTGGAAGTTATTATAACATGTCAGCTAGTAGCCACCGGAACAATTCAGGATTAACATGCTGCTAACACAAAGATGCTATGTTTGTGTCATGTGAAAAGCAGAAATAGTGCCAACATAACATTTGTTGATCTAAATATCGGGTAATAAGGCAGAATACAGCCCACACCAGACTTTGTACTGACATCTGTATGAGATGGGCCTAAAGAGGAAAGAATCTTAGAAACGTAAGTAACGACTCGAGAACTTGGGGTCTATCTTATCTAGAACGTTTGAAGATCATGCTTATTTCCCATTTCTGAGCTTCCGGCGAAACTTCATTTGGCAGTCGTTGCCTGAGAACACTCTTGACTGCTGATCTAGAACCTGAGCTGGTGAGATATCTCTGATCACTGTGTAAAACAGAAGAGTCTAGGGCGAAGAGACCGTAGTGTGGACGCTTTTTTGCTTTTGCACTAGTTTAATCATGTTCTTGATGGTAACTGATAGACACTGTCCTGCCGTAAAGTCTCCCCTAAAATTCCCCTCCTGAGACCTAGCAGTGCCGTAACCAGCAGCTTTCGAGAAGTTCTGTATTATTTCATTTTCACTCATTGCCCCGAAGTGATCGAGGCAGTGTCCATAACCTAAAATTCGATAACTCAGAGACATAAATAGACTGACGTATGCGAATAATTCCATATATAATCAATAGTGATCCAAAAATCCCTTAATTGCAGCGAATCTCAGTCAGAGCCCCGGACGAGTACCACTTCTGCGCAAGATGGTGCAATTTGCGACGGTCAGTTTTATTCGACTTTGTTCTCGGGATATGGCTGATGAGAATAAAGCATTGTGGTATCATGTGGACAGGCAAGGTAGCCATGACGTCAGCTCTCATGCCTTGCACCAACTGATGGGCTGAATGGTGATCACTGGTGACGGGGAGAAACTTGACCGAGTCATTAGAAGCAGTGTCGAGGAAATTAGTCTTGCTGTTAGCCAAACACAGAAAAGCAACTAGAAAAGGCTCTTGTGGATCATCGACCGCACCGAGCACGTCCACAATGACTGCATCCCCAGGACCCAACGACCTATGGAGAATATACTCAACCTCAGTGGATTCAACGCGACATCCGTTAATTTTGAGGAGGGTGTCCTTCCGGCCCAAATGTTCCACAGTGCCAGAATGGGTATATCTCCCTAGGTCCCCAGAGCGATAGAACCTCGATGCTGCACGGGATGGTTGGAGACCTTTGAACCAGATTGGTGCATCCAGTAGGAACCCTACATCAGGCCTCTGGCAGAGACCATCCAGGTATCCTCGGGCCAGGTGGGGCCCTTCAATCAAAATCTCCCCAATAGCACCCACAGGCATAAGAAGCTCTGGAGATTCTGGATTTGTTATCCAAATAGCCCCACTCCCACTGCGTCCAACAATAGCATTCTGCCCAAGTTGGATTTGGTCATTATAAGCGCAGAAAGTGGCCGCTTCACCCATCCCATACTGGTTCACTAATCTCACGTGAGGGGCCCACCTCATCAGAAGCTCATTTGACATCGGCTCACCACCCATGCAGACTACTTGCAATGTTGGCACATCCTGAGGGGAAAACTGAGCAGCGACAGTGGGGGTCAGAAAGGTCATGTTGACTTGAAGACTGTTGATATTCTCCACGAGGGCAGATATTGCCTTGGGTGGTGTAGGGACGCAGCAGCATCCACCAGCAGTGAGGGTGGTCAAATAGTCATTATTGCTAATATCGAACGCGTAATCATCAAATTGCAGCACGCGGCTGTGCTGACCCATTCCAAGCAATGCAATATAATCTCGAACCGCTGTAGCATATGCTTGATGCTCCTGAATAATTCCTTTTGGCTGTCCTGTACTTCCAGAAGTAAAGAGGATGAGACAAGCATCACTGGGTTTAACTAAGGGGCAGATGATCTCAGTGCTCAAGGGAAGTGCGCGAACCATTTCCTCTGTTATTGCAATGACTGACGAGATGAAAGGAGTATATCTGGCCTGATAAGCTGAAGAAACAAGCATTATTTTTGCATTCACGCGGCGAATCACGTTCTCAAGGAAAGTTGGCGGATCTGTCGCGTCGATAGAGATATATGCGGCCCCAGCTTTCATGATAGCCAGACGTGCAACAATTGCCCATGTAGACTTCTCAAAACAGCTGATTATAAATGTGCCTCTGCCTACACCTATTCTGGCTAGAAACTGTCCAAGCCGAGAGGTCATATCATCCAGCTGTGCATAGGTCAGGTCACCATCCCATGAGCAAACAGCTGGAGCGTCAGGGGTTAGCTGTGCATGCTGTAAGGCTATATCATGCAACAACACTCCATAAGGTGCAGAGACTCTCTCAGTGTACTTTTGTAATAATTGACGATCGTGTTTCGAGCAAAGGTCTAACTCGGCTGGAGATCGAAATGGATACGAAAGGACCTCCTGGATGGCTGTTTTGAATGTGTGCAACATGCTAAGTGCAAAATCCCTAGAAGTGTCTGAGACAGAGAAGGTAAGCTTGGCTCGAAGTTCACCATCTGCTTGCACGATATCCAGGAAGAGTCTGGAATTGATTCGCTGTTGGATTTACGATCTGTTAGCTAAAACGATTCACACAGAGTGCGAGTGACGGTCAAAGAATGTATACCCTTCTGTCTGGATTCCCCCTACTAGGACCCTCTATCGCGGCGTAGATTTCTTTCGCATAGCAAATTGTGGTTGAGAGGAATTTCTCTGAACTCTCGTCAGAAGCATCGTAGCCGGCCGGCATCTTTCGCGCCGCGTTAAACTGAACAATGGTCATATCGCGGACTAAATTTTTGACGGGAACTTCGCAGTTGAGCCCGACGGCGGAGACATGATGGTCTCCCCCATGTGCCAATCTGGTGATGAAGTAGAGCCCGGGCTCCGAATGCAGACCCAGGCAAATGTCCGGGGCCGGAGAGAAGCAGCGTACGGTGACCATCCAACTGACATTAAGGAGCGTTATGATGTTAGGAGAACAGGCCCCTTGAAGGCCGAGGCAGCCCTGATATTGTGAATTAAAGTCACTGAGAAGCTTATCTCCACCATAGGAGAGCGACAGGTCCACACCATCTAGTGTATTGGTCAACAGTGGCGCCATGATACGAATGTGTGGCAAGATTGAGATAAACACAAAACAATGGTGGCTGAACACAGAAATGAGCCCGGATTCAAAATCACTAGGACAAAAGGGAGGTCGACACTGGCCATATAAGAGGATGCGATCTCTGCATAAGTCACGCTACATTAAGACTCCATTTTACGAATTACAATCCGGGCGTGGATCTAGAATCCCAGCTTCCCAGGTCATCGAAGTATTTAAAATTCAGATCAATACCCTTGTATACGTGGGGCTCATCTAGTTCTTGAGATATCTCATGCTTTTAGTCCCCCTTGCTTATTTCGATCCGCTCGAGCCCTGCTCTTTCATTTTCCCCTTTCTTTTTCTTTTTTTGACTTTCCTTTCCCTTTTCCCCTTTCCTCTCCCTTTTCCCCTTTCCTCATCTCTCCATTCTTGATTTCTTTTTTTTATTTTTTTTATATAATTTTTTTTTTTTTTTTTTTTTTTTTTTTT